TTTTTATGATCTCTTTGGGATATAGCCCTAGAAGTGCTATTGCTGGGTCAAAGGGTATGCACAATTTTATAACTCTTTGGACATAGTTCCAAATTGCTCTCCAAAATGGTTGGAACATTTCACAACTCCACCAACAATGCATTAGTGTTCCAATTTTCCCTCATCTTCTCCAACATTTATCATTTTCTTGTTTTGTCATCTTGGCCAATCTGATAGGTGTGATGTGGTAACTCAGAGTGGTTTTGCTATTCATTTCTATAATCAATAGTGATTTAGAGCATTTTTTCATGTGACTATAGATGGCTTTAATTTCTTCATCTGAGAACTGCCTGTCCATATCCTTTGACCATTTATCAATTGGTGAATGACTTGTATTTTTTATAGATTTGAATTAATTCTCTATATATTTTAGAAATGAGGCCCTTATCAGAGGGACTGGTTGTAAAAATTATTTCCCAATTTTCTACCTCCCTTCTAATCTTAGATGCATTGGCTTTATTTGTGCAAAAAAAATTCAGTTAAATGTAATCAAAGTTATCCATTTTGCTTTTCATAATGTTCTCTATCTCCTGTTTGGTCATGAATTCTTTTTTCCATAAATCTGATAGGTAAACTATTCCTTGCTCTCCCAGTTTGCTTACAGTATCAGCCTTTATATCTAAATCATGAACCCATTTTGACTTTATTTTGGTATATGGTGTGAAATTTTGATCAATGCCTCATTTCTGCCGTACTGTTTTCCAGTTTTCCCAGTAGTTTTTTTCAAAGAGTGGGTTCTTATCCCAGAAGCTGGGGTCTGTGGGTTTATAAAATAATAGATTACGATAGTCATTGACTACTGTTTCTTGCATATTTAACCTGTTTCACTCATCCACCACTCCATTTCTTAACCTGTACCAAGCAGTTTTGATGATTGCAGCTTCATAATACAATTTAAGATCTGGAATGGCTATGCCACCTTCCCCTGCATTTCTTTTCATTAGTTCTCTTGATATTCTGAATGTTTTGTTCTTCTAAATGAATCTTGTTATTATTTTTTCTAACTCTATAAAATAAATTTTTGGTAGTTTGATTGATATGGCACTGAATAAGTAAATCAGTTTAGGCAGAATTGTCATTTTTATTATATTAGCTCGGCCTACCCATGAGCAACTGATGTTTTGCCAATTATTTAGATCTAACTTTATTTGTATGAAAAGTGTTTTGTAATTGTGTTCATAGAGTTCCAGGGTTTGTTTTGTGAGGTAAACTCTTAAATATTTTACAACGTCTACAGTAAATTTAAATGGAATTTCTCTTTCTATCTCTTGCTGTTGGGCTTTGTTGGGAATATATAGAAATGCCTATGATTTGTGTGGGTTTATTTTATAGCCTTCAACTTTGCTAAAGTTGTTTATTATTTCAAGTAATTTTTACTTGATTCTCTAGAATTCTCTAAGTATATCATCATGTCATCTGCAAAGAGTGATAGCTTTGTTTCCTCTTTTCCTATTCTAATACCTTCAATTTCTTTTTCTTCTCTTATTGCTAAAGCTAACGTTTCCAGTATGATATTGAACAACAGTGGTGATAATGGACATACTTGTTTCATCCCCGATCTTATTGGAAATGCTTCTAGTTTGTCCCCATTACATATGATGCTTGCTGAAGGTTTTAGGTGAATGCTATTTATCATTTTAAGGAAGACTCCCTTTATTCCTATGATTTCTAGTGTTTTTAATAGGAATGTGTGTTGTATTTTGTCAAAAGTATTTCTGAATTTATTGAGATGATCGTGTGGTTTCTGTTAATTTTGCTGTTGATATGATCAATTATGCTGATAGTTCTCCTAATATTAAACCAGCCCTACATTTCTGGTATAAATTTGACCAGGTCATAGTGTATTATTCTTGTGATAAGTTGCTGTAATCTATTTGCTAATATTTTATTTAAAATTTTTTGCATCTATATTCATTAGAGAAATTGTTCTATAATTTTCTTTCTCTGTTTTGACTCTTCCTGGTTTAGGTATCAGCTCCATATTTGTATCATAAAAAGAATTTGGCAAGACTCCTTCTTACCTATTTTTCCAAATAGTCTATATAATATTGGAATTAATTGTTTTTTAAATGTTTGATAGAATTCGCATGTAAATCCATCTGGCCCTGGAGATTTTTCTGTGTTCTTCTTTAAGTGCTCGTTTATCTAATGTGTAGGGGGAAATCTGCAGAGCTTGGAATTTTCTGACCTACTGTGCCATCTTCCCAGAATCCTCAGTGTTTTTTTTTCTAAATAGGAATGCATGTGGTATCTTGTGAAAACCTTTCCCACACCTATTGAAAAAATTATATGATTTCTGTTGTTGTTTTTTATTGATATGGTTGATAGTTTTCTTAATATTGAATCATCCCTGCATTCCTGGGTCAAATTCCACCAGGTCATAATGTATGATCCTTATGAGTTATGGCTGTAATCTCTTGGCTAGCATTTTATTTTTATATCAATATTCATTAGGGAAATTGGTTTATAGTTTTTTTTTTCTCTGTTCTTGCTCTTCCTGGTTTAGGTATCAGCACTACGTTTGTGTCATAAAAGGAATTTGATAAGACACTTTCTTCGACTATTTATTCAAATACTTTACAAAATATTGGAATTAAATAGTGTTCAAATGTTCGGTAGAAGTCACTTCTGAATCTATCTGGCCCTAGGATTTTTTCTTAAGGTGTTAATTCATTGCTTGTTCAATTTCCTTTTCTAAGATGGAGGTATTTAATTATTCTATTTCCTCTTCATTAATCTGCAATTTAGATTTTTGTAAATATTCATTGATTTCACTTAGATTGTCAGATTTATTGGCATATAATTGGGTAACATATCTCCTAATAATTGTTTTAATTTCTTTTTTGATAGTGACAAATTCACCTTTTTAAATTTTGATACTAGTAATTTCGTTAAAACCTTGGCTGAACTCTTACTCAAAACTCTCTAATATCCATATTTATAGAGGATCTGAAGGGTAATGGCAATGAAGGACAAAGTGCAAGGAATGCATGTGCCAGAGGCGATTTATACCTTTTGAACCTCAAGGCCTGGAAGTCCTCCCTGTGACCCAATTCAACTATTACCAAGGCTATTTCCTAGGCAGCTTTTTCCTTTCCTTCCAGAGGTCCTACTCCTCAAAGCCCCTTTTTCCCTTGTCTGACTCTTTTCTTGTGTCTGTGTCTGACTAGAGTATGTGTATCTTAGCTCCCTGATAGGTGTATGTCTCCTATATGTCTAGTAAATTTATTTCAAAATGAAATGGCTGACTGGAAGTGGGTAGGAGAGAGAAATTCTTTTCTCCACATCCCATTAATGATTGCATCTCTGGGCCTCAGTTTCTTCTTTACTAATGGATAATAATAATAACACATAGGCCAACAACAGTTAGATCAATTAGATTTATCTAGACAGCAAAAGAAATCTAGACATTCTAACATCAATTAAAGAATTTACTTTACAAAATGGAGCAAGCTTTCAAATCAACTTCTCCTTTACTTGGACAGAGAGAAGGAAGAGAAAAGAGAGACTGTGCTTCATAGTCTGGTACCTGTTCTCCCTGGTGGAAAGTTAGTTATCACTACTCCTACACTGGCTAGTGAAAAGGAAATGAACTGCAAAGCCTGAGGCAGCAACAGTGGGCCCACAGGCCACTTGAACCCAAGGCCTAGGCAGCATGCCCTAAGACTTCTGGGACATAATGTTCCTCTTCCCCATATGTCATCTTCTATCCCAAATGCCATTCAATATCATTAATTTCTCAATATATATGCCACCTCACCTTGTTGCTGCCACAGCCAAATACTCTCAGCTTCAACTTCACATATATCATTCTGTATACATGCTTATTTTTAAATACATTTTTATTGATATATTTTGTTTTCATATAACTGAAACGTCTCTAAATATTCCTTCCCATTCCTTTCTCAAAGAACTCTCCTATGTAATGAATATTTATATTAAAGAAAAGAGATAAAAAGATGAGAGGAAAAAATCAAGAGAACCAATAGACACATTGAAAAAATTTGAAAATACATGCAATTTTCCACACCTGTTATAGGGTCAGTTTTAAAATTGCCAGTGAGACTTTCCCACAGCTCATGCTTCTATAGCTGCTATTGACTCTGAGCCTGAGATAGCCCCAGTTCTTCTCAGCATGGGAAGAAAAACATTGTGCGGCTGGAGCAACATCTCCCAGAAATGTTTCTCTCTGCCTGCATGAGGTCATCTGGTTATATGAATAAGGAACTTCTTTACACATTGTTATGGGGTTAGAGGAAGGGTCCTTAATATTTCCTGTATACATCCTTTCACATTTAAGGTTGTAATTTTGTTTTCCACTTTTTAATTCTTTCATATTGATGACTACATGATGTTTTGGAGAAGATAAAACACTGAGAATTAAGAGACTAAGTGAAAGATCTGGTTTTGGCTGTGACTTTGGGCAAGTCACTTCTCCTCTTTGGGATACAGTTTCTTCAACTGAAAAACATGTGAGAGGGAATTGCAATTCTTTAAATCCTTTTCTAGTCTCTGTATCATTCATGTTGTGAAGCCTTGGAAATATAACTTCTAATTGCAGCAATCATTTCCTCACAGAAGGTTATCCAGGAACATTACATTTCTATAGATCTTTTTTTAAATTAGAAGAGCCATCATTTTCAGTATAAGGAGCAGATGAATCCATGGATGAATTTCACAGTTATTCTACTCATCTGGTATGCAAGCCAGAGTTGTAAGAATAGTGCAAATGTGCAAGAAGAAATTCAGTGTACTCTGGTTTAAGATATGTCCCCAAAGTGTATCTGAGTTGGGATTCAAATTAATTATATGCGTTAGACAGGGTGTCTGCTTTGTACAAATCTCTCCATCGTTCCCTGCCGTCCCCATTTCTCTCTCTCTCTCTCTCTCTCCCTCCCTCCCTCTCTCTGTCTGTCTCCCTCCCTCTCCCTCAGAATCCCAACTTTCACTAAACCAATTATTCAGATATTGCTCTTTTCAATAGAATATTCTTTTTTTATCACTTTCTTCAAGGCAATTTTGACATCCTTATTTCTCAGACTGTAGATGAGGGGGTTTAGCATGGGCACTATGATAGTGTAAAAGACAGAGGACACTTTCCCCTGATCCATGGAACTGACCGAAGATGGCTGCAGGTACATGAATGTAAGGGACCCAAAGAAGATGCCAACTGCTGCAATATGGGAGCTGCAGGTGCTGAAGGCTTTTGATCTGCCTTCAGTGGATTGAATTTTTAAAATGCTAGCCATAATCAAAACATAAGAGCAAATAATTGTCAAGGTTGGGAAAAGGATATTAAATGTGCTGAAGGCCAGAGCCACCACTTCATTGACATATGTGTTAGAACAAGAGAGCTTCAAGAGTGGAAGGAGATCACAGAAGTAATGATTAATGGCATTTTCCTTACAGAAGAGCACTCTAAGCAAGCAGCCTGTGTGAGCTGTGGTCCCAGTGAGGCCCAATGCATACACCCCACCCACCAACCAGGAGCACACTTGATAAGACATTATAAGACTGTAAAGAAGGGGATGACATATAGCAACATAGCGATCATATGCCATCACAGCCAACATTTGACATTCAGAAATTGTAAAAAAGGCAAAAAAATAGAACTGAGTCATGCATTCAGGGTAGGAGATGGTGTTTTTCTTTGATAAAAAGTTCATCAGCATTTTGGGAGTAATGACAGTTGACTGACAGAGATCAATGAAGGACAAACTGCAGAGGAAATAATACATGGGGTTGTGAAGATGAGGACTGAGTCTAATCAATGTTATCATGCCCAGGTTCCCCACCACTGTGATCACAAAAATCCCTAGGAAGAGGAAGAAGAGGGGCAGTTGAACTTCAGGCTGGTCTGTTAGCCCTATGAGGATGAACTCAGTCACTAGGGAATAATTTCCTTTCTCCATTCTTTTTGATTGTAGAGCAGGAGGAGGCAAGAAACTGTAAACATGAAGAAAAAACATAAATAACAAGAAAGAGGGTGTCTTCATTATTACCAGTCTCAAAAATCAGCTCAGACAGAATACAATTGTATACAATCATCTAATCTTTTTGTCTTATTCTGTTTTGCTGCAAAATAGCTACTGACTATCAGTTTTCACAGCTACATAATTCATGTATGCCAGACCTTTGGAAAAATTCATGACTGACATTCTCTCCAACATACAATAATAATTATTTTTGTTCTTATAAACATTCATAGTTTCAAAGTTCTTTGCTTGCAAGGAAGAGTGTGTGCAACAAGTATTGAAGTAGGTATTACATGTATAAAAATCTTAGAGAATATTGAGGGTCTAGTTCTCACAGCTAGTAAACATAAGAGATAGAACCTAAAATTAATTCTCACTTAATGTCAATTATAGTAGCGGTTATGCTGAATTTTAAATAATGCCTTTCTACAATTGTTAATATGGCTATGGGGGTGAGAAAGACAATGATGATATTATCCAAGGTCCAAGACTGATGCCATTGAGGAAGATGTATAATTCTTTCATCTACAATCTAAAAAGATTATTTAGCTTCAATCTGATTGATTAGATTAAATCAAATTTACTTTCCTGTGACCTTTTCATTCTAGATCTTAAATCTTGCAAAATTCTGTCCATAGCCCATGAACTGTGCAGAAAATACTGTTGGAGTTTGCCAACTTGGTGACTGTGGACTCTGTCTCCTTTCTCATGAAAATGAAAATAGGTCTCAGAGAAGTACAGTTATTGCTAAGGGCAAACAATTGGAAAGCTATGAGATGAGAAAAAAAATCTGGTTGTCCTCTGTTGAGACAGTTCTTAGGAACTCCAGATAGTTTTTACTAGAATGGCTTGTTAATAGGATTGCCACCCAGGAATCTGCTGTAATATATACTGTGCCTAAATTTTGTCAAAATATTTCATAAAAATCCTCTTATAGAAAGAACGAAGGGATATGGATTGGTCAGAATTGGAATTTGGTGAACTCACAAAGAGTAGTCATACTTCTTAAAAGTTATCTTGAAAGGCAGTCTCCAGTATAGTGCATCAGGAATTCTTGCTTGGTCTTGTGTTGTTAAATACCTTGGATATAAGCATAGATGATATGCTTATCAAATATAAACATTACACAAAGCTTGGAGAGATGACTAACTTACTGTTACAGTAAACTTACAGTTTGACCTAAACATGATCCAAAAATATCATGACCCTTTAAAAGACTGGGCTGAATCTAATATGATGAAATTTACTAAAGACATACATGTAAAATTGTGAACAGCAGTTAAAACATGTTTCAATAGTCCAAAAAATATAGAGATATGTTTAAAAGTCAGTTTGTTTGACAAAGAGCTGAGTTTTTTAGTTGACTGCAAACTCAATGTAATTAAGAAATATGTGACAGTAAAAAAAAACAAAAACAAAAACTAATGTTCTTCTGAGCTACATGAAGAGTCTTAACTTCCAACAATGGCAAGTGTGAACAAAGTTCCTGCTGATGTACCTTAAGGCTTTTATGACTGTTTAGAAGATTCCTAGTACCTCATTAGTAATACAGAGACAGAGGTTTTCGTGATGGTTTTGGTGATAGTTTTATCATACTCTACTTTGGTCAAACCACACTGGGAACATTTTATCCAGTTCTGTTTGCCATAGTTTAGGAGGGCCATTGACAAGTTGGAGAACATTCAGAAAAGGGCAATGAGGGTCATGAATGAGTACATTATAAGGATAATTTGAACTACTTTAGAAATTTTGGCCAGAGATGGGAAGAATCATAGGAACATAAAAATTGTTTCCAAGCATTTTAAGGGCTCTCATTTTGAAAAGGGCTTAGACTTATTCAGTTTATCTCCAAAGAATAGAACCAAGGGCAGTGTATGAAAGTAACAAAAGGCAAATTTAGGTTTGATGTGAGGATAAAAATCTATAACAACTATACACAATTCAAAGTGAGATAGACTGCCTTGGTAGTACTAGATTCCCCCTCAGAGCCAATCTTCAAGGGGAGACAGAATGACTACGCTGCTGCATGGGTATTGGGGGAAGTTGTAGGGGATGAGAATGGAAGGTCACTTCTAACTCTAATACCCAATAGTTCTGAGCTGGAGTTCCTCATACCTCCAAAATCTCTTTCCAATTTTGAAACCACTTGTTCCCAGTCTTTAGTCTCATGCTATTGTCAGTGATTCATAAAATAGAATGTGGAGATACCTTTTCTTTTGTAAAGTCCTGAGGTTCCATGAATCTCTGTTTAGAAGGAAGAATAATTTCAAATTGATCAAATACTCACCCTCTATCATTGGATCTCAGAGCCTTTTCATCCACAGAATCCTGGCAGGTCAACATCTTCTATGAAGGTTAATATGGTCCAAGTATAGAGGCTTCTTGTCCTTTTTCTTGTTGGTGGGAATCAGAGCACAGAACTGTCTGTGAAATACTTTGGGGACTGATTTGATTTGTAGTTGATTATCTGTAGTTGGAACTTTAGCCACAGTATCCTCTTTAACTATAGGGAAGCAAATAGTGGTTATCACTGGCAACACAGCTCCTGATAATGTATCTTAAGGTTTTTATGGTTATTTATAAGACTCTTGGGGCCTCATTAGTAACACACAGATAAAGACTTCCACAGAGACTTATCTCATAAGGAATTTCCCTTTTCTGGGAAGAAGTCATTAATATTTTCCTCTATCAGGGGCAGCTAGGTGGTATAATTAATACAGCACTGGCCCTAGAGTCAGGAAGACCTGCTTTCAAATCTGGCCTCAGACATGATATTTACTAGCTGTGTGACCCTAGGCAAGTTACTTAACCCTGATTGACTCACCAAAAATATATATGTATATACTTATATTTTTCCCCTCTCCCTATTAATTCTTTCATTTTTTATTATACTTGAATTTATTTTAAACTCAGATACAAAACAAGACAAGAAAAAATTGTCATGTACACATCAGAACATGAGAGGATTCAATGTAAAGCAATAAATTTAAGTTTCAAAGAATATAATGAATACTACACATATATTTTGAAAACTGTCCCACTTTTCTTTGCTTCCTTGTATGCTTTCTTTTGTCCTCTGCTGAGCATTTTCCATTTTTCCCCACTTCCCTTGTCCCCACCCAAAGATTATAATTAAGTATGGATATATATATATATATATGTATGTATATATACATACATATATATATACACAGAGAGACACACACGTAGACATACATAATACACACACATATACATACACGTAAACATATGTATAGATACCTAAGTATACATAGATATCAATAAATATGCACATATATACACACATACACTGAAACACATATGTGAAAGACTGCATTACGCTTATTTCCACCTGTCATCTATTTCTCTGTAGGTGGATAGCATCTTTCTTCATAAGTCCAAGTCTTTCCATATTTTTCAAAATCTATCAGCTCGTCATTTCCTGTGCCATAAAACTATTCTGCCCTAATTGCATTCTATATGGGAGATTGTGAGAGTTGTTCCCCCAATTTTTCTGCATTCCCTCTATTCTTGGCAACCAAGTTTTATTTATAGAGGAAAAATTTAATTTCAAACAATGAAAATTATTTTTTTTACATTTCAACACTGCTCTCACCTTATAATACGGATTAAGGTCTGATACTACTGAATCTAGTTCCTTCACATTTTCCCCCCTGGTTTCCTTGAAGTTCCTGACCCTCTGCTCTTCCTGATGAACCCTGATCATTTTTTCTGACTCAGTAAGATAAGTTTTTAGTAATTTAATTGGAATGGTATTACATAAATAGATTAATTAGGTTAAATTGTCATCTTAAAATTATATTAGCTTTACCTACCCATGGACAATAATACTTCAATTATTTAGACCTAACTTTGTGTAAAAGGTGTTTTGTGTTAATATTCATTTAGTTCCTATTTCTGCTTTGATAGGTAGACTATCATATATTTATACCATCTAGTTATTTTATATGGTGTGAAACTAGGTTAATATGGCTGACACAGTGTAGTTTCCCTACTTTTCCCTTTTGATCAAATCTGATTTTAGCTTTAACTTTTTCTGAGATTATGATTACTCTCCCTGCTTTTTTACATAATGAATTCTACTCCTAATCTTTATTTTATATTTGTGTGTATCTCAATTTTACAGTATTTCCTGAAAGCAATGTATTGTTGAATTCAAAATTTTAATCTGCCATCAGTTTCCATTTTATGGGTAAATTCATCCTATTCACATAGTTACTTGGATATTTTCCTCCTTCTTATTTTCCTCACTGTCCTTCTCACCCAATTCCTATCCCTCCTCACTCCTCTACCCTACTTCTACATGCTACCTTATCCTTATATTCCTTAACCTACCCCCTCCAAGAATTCCTCCCTTATCCTCTCCGTCCACCCTATTCCTTTACCTTCTTATTTCTTTCCAAATTTCAAAGATTTTTATACCTTTCTAAATATTTATGTTGCTCCCTCTTTATCCCATTCCCATTAATCTATACAATCATCTATACCACATATTATCCTATTCCCTATTTCTCCCTTAACCTCTCCTTCCACCCTTTCCCCTTACTTTCCTATTTCTTTCTGAATTTAGAAGGCTTTTATCCCCTTCTAGATATATATGTATTGTTCTCTCTTTACCAATTCCTGATGAGAGTAGGGTTCCAGAACTACCCAACCTTCTCCTTCATCTAATTCCTCTATATCAGTTCTTCCTCTCACACCTCATTTGTATGAGATAATTACTCTTTTTGCCTTTCCTACATCATTTTGCTTTTTAGAATCACATCATATTCCACTCTACTCCACTCTTTCTTTTGAACTACCCAATTACTAATGAAAATCTTAGACATACAATGTACAGTTTCATGTATAAAAAGTAAACCATTTGTCCTTATTGACTCTCTTGTAATTAGTCTGTGATGTTTATCTTATATTTTTCTTGGATC